CCCGCCGGCTCGCCGCCGCAGCCCTCCGCCCCCGCGAAGCCCGCTGGTGGGCGCGGCGGCGGGGGCCGCCGCGGCGCGCGGCTTGGGCGCCTGGTGCCCTTGACGCTGCGGGAGGCGTTAGTCATCGCCCGTGACGTGGCGAGCGCCATGATCTACCTGCACGCGCCGAGCGACGCCAAGCCGGTGGTGGTGCACCGGGACCTGGTGTGTAGCTGGGGTGAAGCTGCGGCTCACGCTTGCATGTGGGCCTGCTGCTCACGATGGACCCCTGCACTGTCAAAACAGCTGCTCACCCAAGCAATGTCATCGTTGATGGCCGGCTCCTGCCTCACATTGTATGTGACTTCAGGCGGAACGGCCCACGTTGGCGTTACTCACTTCCCTTAGCCTCACGCTCCCAGCCAGATAAATCCCCAACGCTCACGGAGGATGGGCACTTTCCCTTGACCACTGTGATTGCGCATGCCCGGCCCTGTCTCTGCAGAAGCCCCAGAATGTTCTGCTGCACGAGGACGGCCGCGCCAAGGTGCGCTGTGCATGAGTCAAGGTGGTTGGCTGATGCGAGAAAGAGACAAGTGCGGCCGTGCTCATGACTGCTCACTTGATTGTTTGGGAACAGTTTCGTATGTGACTTTACGGGCATCTATCTGTCGCTGCAGCCTGCTCTCCTCAGGTCCTTACCCGGCTGCCAACACAGGAAAAAAGCTGGCCTCCTCCCACAGCCTTGCCCGATTTGCGGACCCCCCCCCTTACCCATCAACCTCCACCGTCTCTCCGCCCCCACCGACCGCAACCCTCGCTGCCCAAATCCCCCGCAGGTGTGCGACTTTGGCATCTCAAAGGCTTTCACGGCCACGGCCGCGTCGTCCACGCGCCTGCAGCCGGGGACGCCCTCTTACATGGCACCTGAGCAGGTGAGCCTCCCAGGCCAGGCCCAGGCCGGGCCTACTGCCTGCAATCTGCATAAACATCGTGCTTTGCGCACAGCCACGGGACAGCAAGCAGTGGCTATGAGCCAAGCAACTCATACGGCTGCCTATCCAGCCGCTGTTTGGCTCAGATCTTGTCACTGGTGCACAATGTCTCTTTTTGGTGACAGCTCCAGCTGTGCTTTAAGCGCATGACCTTTGGTCAACCTCTGGTCAAACGCATGCGTGTGCACCATAAATCTTTGCAAAGATACGTTTCACCGTCATCCTTCTTTCATATCATCCACAGTTTGAGGGCCGCCCCGTGACCGACCGCGTCGATGTGTTTGCGTTTGGTGTGCTGCTTTGGGAGTGCCTCGCGCGCCGCCAGCCGTGGCGGGAGCTCAGCGCCATGCAGATCATATTTGCTGTTGGCATACAGGTGAGGCCACGTGGTTTCCGCCTGCTGCTGCTGTCTTGATTGGTATTGCTGGTGCTGAACATCAGCAGCAGGGTGTTGTATTTGGTGTGATGCTACTTGTATACCGTATCTGCCAATGCCACCTTATTGCTGGCACGGTGCGATTTCTATCTGGAATCTGACTCAGACATACATGTCCCCACAACAACCAAAGACTGGAATTCCTGCATGCATTTGGTTGGTTGCCCCCATGTGCACCTCTCACACCATATGTGTATACACAACTTGCATTGACACGCATTTCTCCGCTACTGCCGCCGTCTTTGCTCGTTTCGCACAGGGCGAGCGCCTGCCGCGCCCCTCGGGCTGCCCCGACGGCCTGTGGGCGCTGATAGAGTCCTGCTGGCGCGAGGCGCCTGAGCAGCGGCCACCGTTCAACGCCATACTGCCGGCTGTGGAGGAGGAGATAGGGCTGGTGGACGCTGCAGAGCAGCAGGAGCGGCAGCGGCAGCAGGAACGGCAGCAGCAGCAGGAAAAGCAGCAGCAGCAGCAGGAGGAGGACGAGCAAAGGGCAGCGGGACTGGGACGGCAGATGGAGGTGGGGCGGCAGCAGGGGATGCACACGGGAAGGGGACACCATCGGGGGCGGGACAGTGTGCGCGCCCAGCTCCAAGTGCTTAGGGCCAGGCGGCACCACAACCAGCCCACGGCAGAAGGGGCGACGCCTGGCGTGGTCGCGACAGCCCTTGCCGCGCGGCGCGTGGCCGTGCCCGCGGCCGCGGCCCCTACAGCGGTGCAGGCAAAAGCTGAGTGTGGGACTCACTATCAGACAAGGGGCAGCCTGCTCTCAAAAAGCAGCGGCGATGAGTTGATGCAGGATGGAGAGGCGCAGGGCGAGGGCGGAGGATTTGCAGAAGGGAGCTGCGTCGGTAGCACGATCGCAGGCAGGAGGTCTGACAGCAGCGGCAGCGGCGTGGACGCGGCAGCCCGAGTTTTTTAGCCCGCTGTCAACCTTCTGGGGTCTACTTCGACAGTTGGCCATGTACATCCATGATATGAGGTGCGGCTGAGTGAAAGCCGGCTTGGAGCTCAAACAGGCTGCCACTTGGCAGCAGCAGACGGCGGCATTTGTCGAACACGCAAACCCACCCCTGCGCGACCTGCCTTTCCAGGTTGCTTGGTGCGCGATGATAACACAACACTTTCATGCATTTTTGCCATTCTGCACGTGAGAGGACTGTAGACCTGTAAACTTGTATGTGCATGAAACTTTAAGGTTTTTTGGCATCATATTTGAGCTCGAAATCATTATAAGCAGATGCATAGCCATCACGCGTCAAAGCATTCGGTGAGCAGAGTACGCCAAAACACAGCGCTGCCGCATCCCAAACATAGGCTGCTCAAAATGGTGGGATAGAGCAGGCAGCGCGGGCTGCGCTCTCGAGCAGTCCTGCAGCCACATGCCCCCAGGCTCCAATCAATCCCTACCAGAACATTCCGCCAAACAAGCACAAACAATGCGCAGATTTGCAGAAAAATACACGTACCCAGTCAGTCCCCAGCTGCAGCGTGACAGGGGAAGCCAAAACCACAGGTGGCGTCGTTCAGGCGATGACAGCTGTGGTCACCCCTCCATCACCCGCACCCTCACCCCCGCCAGCACCTCCGCCTCCCCCATGATGTGCAGCGCGTCAAGCAGACCGACCCTGAGGCTGCCGGGGCCGGGTCGGGGGGCGGCGGCCAGGGATGTCTCCCCAGCCAGCCTGCGGAGTGGAGGTTACAGGCGTGACAACGGCAGGGTTGTCAGGGGTTGGTGCCTGAGCTGTGGAATCAAGTGACTGGATCATTCATGGACAGGTGCATTCAGGCGCGGGCAAGAGCCTCTTCGTCAGCCAGGCCTGGAAGAATCCCCAGGAAGGTTATTTATTAGGTTCGGGCAATCAAGACGCAACGAAACGCAAACACAAGGTCACCAGCCGCCTCGCACACGAACAGGTTGCCTCAAGCACAGTACAGCACTTTGCGTGCCCCCGCAGCCGCTGGCGCAACACACGCACCCAAACACTGCCAGTGCTGCAGCGGTGGCCTCGAGCTCCCCTCCCTTTGGCGCGACCGCCAAAAACGCAGCAATGAGCGCGGTCAGGCTGCAGCCCGTGGCGGTGACGCGCGTGAGCAGGGGAACACCATTTGAGACGCCGGCCACGCGGGTGCCGTCTGTCACCTATGTGAGAGTTTGAGGGTGATGAAGGTTACATTTGAGGTGAGGTGAACAAAGACACATTTCAACTGAGTTTCGTCACCACGTGACTGACTCAAGCTTGCAAGTGTGCGTGTGGGTGGGTACTATCCAGAAATTGGCGGAGCTGGAGCTGCTTCGCTCGATGCTCGCATACTGCTTCGCAAGGGGGTGCACCGAGGGCGTGGACGGCACACGCGGGCGGCTCACCAGGTCCGTCGCCCCCGACACGGCCACGATGCAGCTGCAGCGCCGCGCCAGCGCCTTTGCGGCGTCCAGAGCCTCGTGGCTCTCTGCAGTACTATCCACGCCCCTGACCGCGCTGCCTGCGCGCGGCGGTGTGCGCGTGCGCTGTCGTGGTTCGAGGGTTGACGTGGGCGGGAAAGCGCCTGCGTCTGCTGTTGGCCTCGGAATTAACAACCAGGATACCCTGGACATGCTTGGCCATCGATGCAATCAATAATGTCATCACGAAGGAGCCCACAGCAACGGCGACCGATGTTGCGGCCAGGGGAAACAAGAAAGGCGGCGCACCCACCTGCTGCACCCGCAAGCGCCAGGATCTCGCTGGCGTTGCCCCTCACAACTGTGGGTCTGAGCTGCAACAGCGCCAAGCACATTTGGGTGCGGTAGGGCGTGGCGCCGCAGCCGACGGGGTCCAGCACCCAGGGCTTGCCTAGGGCCACAGCCTGTGATGCGGCGGGTGTGCGTGAGTTGCATGCTCGTCTCGTCGAGTTGCTATTTGGGGAGTGACTCGGCAAGCTGCGCCGTCCATGAGAGCACACACCTACGCTAGGAGAAGCAGGATCCGCGCGCTCGTCTTCTGGGCGGGCATGATCGCCCAAGTCAGGCCACCACAGGCGGCACGGCGCGGCAGGCTGCCCTTGGATCGTGGGACTCACAGCCGGGTGCACACCTTCTGGGCCGCCAGCTTCTTGGCGGCGTTCCAGTCGCTGCTCAGATTTGAAATGTTGATGAGCAGCGCATCAGCAATGCCCACAAAGTCCTCAACCTGCAGTTTAGGGCGCGTGATGGCGCGTCAAACTCGTTGCCGTGGAGCCTTTGGTGGGGGTCCTCAACTCCCGCATGATCGGCAGGGGCGAGGGCAAAGCAGCGTTCGAAATTCGTGTGCGAGCCCGCAGTTGGTGCATACGGCCGTCTGCTGGAGGTGGAAGGGGCGCCGCACCTCGTCGAGGGCGTGCGCCATGGCTGGGGAGGCGCCGGCAGCCAGCAGCGTGTTGGCCATGAGGTCCATGCTGCGGCAGGGTTGTGCCCATGCACGCATGGGGTTGACATCCATACTTCATCGGCCCACGTACAACTCGTGTGTGCAAAATACACACCTCATTGACTAAGCGCTGTTGAATGTTGGCAAGCTGCTGCATAGAGACTTGGAGGAGGGGGGCTGGGCGCGTCGGAACGGGATTGAGTGGGGCACCGCCACAGGCGGCAGGCAGGCCAGCTCGCGCTGGCCCGCACCTGACCAGGTTTGTGATGCACTGTACAAGCGGCCCCTTGTCGCGCATCGCATGCCACAGCGCCCACACGCTTCCTGGGGTCAAGCTCGGCTCCATCTTGCCGCCACGCTGTGCCAGCTGACACGGCCGGCGCAGCTGGTGCTGCTGCTGCTCAGCTGCTGCGGCTTCAGACTGTGCTTCGAGTCTGCACTAGAGCGCTGCAAGGCTGGCCTTGCATAGAGATTTTGAAGGTGCCCGTGTCTTTCTTTTACGGGGCTATCACCTCCCCCCGGGGTGGGAAGTGAGGGACAGGAGCGTACAGTAGTGACAAAAGGCACTCGTGCAGTCGCGCGTTGATTTTGATGATCAGTGATGTAAAATCAGTCGGTTCACTACCGTATGGGTTGTGGGTCTCTGTCAAAACCAGATGGGGGTGGGCACCGGCCCTATGATAGCATACCGCCTGCTGCCGCGCTGCTTGCGTCTGGGCCTTCCAACGTTCATGAGTTCAGCAACTGCATGCGTCCCTCCCGCGCGTGACGCAATCGAATGTCTCTGCAGTGCATACCAACCACGAAGAGCAATATAAGCTGGATGTCAACAAGCACGGCCTCAACGAGCTGCCGTGGGCGGCATGGTGGTTGGAGCAGCAGTCCACAGCGTCACGGGCCAAGTTGGCCATGGCTGTCAATGATCCAGCAGGCTTTGCAGAGCTCCCCACTCCATCCACCTCGCCCGCAAGGACGAAGCGCGTTGGCAAGAAAGCCGAAAGCTGCACAGCAACTCCGCAACACCAAGCCCGGCGAATGATGCGTGCTGCTGGGTTCGCAGCAGCACCAGGCCTCCGCATGCTGTGCCTTCTCAACAGTACAGATGTCATCTCATCACATCTTGCCACAGCATCAAGAATTGTCTGGTGACTCTGCAATGGGCCAGTGTCCACACCAGTCGTGAACGCACCAGTATGACAACTTGCCTGGCCCCAGAACTCAAACGCACAGCCACGAGTGAATGTGCAGGGTTAGGGTTGATTTCAACCTACAATTGCGATCTCGAGAAAGCTTTGGCCTTTGGCGCGGCCTACATCTGATTCAATTTTACTGTACGAGCTCTGCGGATCTACAGTATGCAAATCTTCATCATCAAAGCTATCCCTATAAGTGACTCATTTGATCACATAGTCGACCCTCCCTCTCGACTTGGGTCGCACTGTCAGCTCCAACGCAGGAAAGAAAAGAAAACCGCCACTGCGGTCACGACATATCTCATCCTGAGCTTTGTATACCACTTAACTTCGGTCATAATCACAGTGGCAGAATTTGAATTTACAAGTTGGCGCAGCAGGAGGCCACACGCAGCACGTGACGCATGGCTCAGCCCAGGCAAATTGTGGAGCCCGTGGGGCCTCCACCAAGCACCCTATACACATACTTTGATTTGACAACAGCCACAAAGGTCAGTGGAACTCCCTTGTGCTTGACACCAGTGTTCAGGCTGCTGCCGGCAACGGAGCGGCAATGCAAGCACATGCGTGCACACACCAAGCGCAACAGCAACGTGCACGCACGCCCCTCCCACGCGCACATCCCACCTGTCAGGACTTTTCCAAGAAGCTCGGCGGCGGCGGGTTCGGGGAGGTTTTTGAGGGGTGCCTCAACGGCGTGCGGGTCGCCGTGAAGCGGCTCGCACCCGACGTGCTGCAGGCCTTTGGCAGTGCCGCCACGAAGTGCTTCTGGCGCGAGGTCCAGGTGCTGGGCTCGCTGCACCACCCGCACCTTCTGCCGCTGCTGGACAGCTGCCCGGAGAAGGGCATACTCGTGTATGAGCTTATGGAGGGCGGCAGAGAGAGA